GACGAGGGCTGCAGCCGCACCGCCGCTCCCCCGCTGAGAACCAGAGGCCCACCGCGGGTCTGTGAGCTGTGGCTGCCCAGATGACAGCTGCGGATCATCCAAGATGGCAAGACGCTAGCGCGGCCCGACCCACAGCAGTGGGGAAGGCCAGATGCCGAAAACTCACCCCTCGCCCTTGAGAAGCTGCCAAGAAACCGCTCCCCCGGAACAGGAGGCGCGGAGCAGGAGGTGCGCGTGGAAGACGCCCGTGCTGCGCTGCACCCATCTGGAGGCCTGCTCCACAGAACCTTCCTGGGAACAGAAACCCGCCTTCCAGCCCAGCCTTGCCGCAACGCAGCCGTGTGACCCGGCGGCGGACAGAACCTGCCCGGGTGTCAGCCGCCTCCGCCGTGAGGGAGGCAGGCTGGGTTCCACTCGTGAACTTAACGGTTACCAAACGCCAAAAAGCAACAGCCTCCCCCGACATCGCCATCGGGGGCCTTACGTTCCCGTGAGGAATGTCCTTGGGGCCTTTTCACCATCCTATGTTTTTTATTTCACAGAGATAATTCAATTAATAGTCACATCAGCAGACATTTTTTGCCAGGTTCCAGACAGAACCTTCCTGCAGCTCCAGGTTAAGCACCACACGATCCCTGTTTTAAAGAGAAGGAAACTGAGGCCAGAAGGGGCTCAGGAAACTCGCCTGGGGTCACCAGCCGCCACGGAAGGCAACTGGAAAAGGTTCTGGCCTCCGAGACTTAAGGAGCAAAATGGCAACAGAGGGGAGGACTTCCTTATACACAAGATAACGAAGGCAGGCAGGGAGCTGTGCCCAGACTCACTCTTGCTCTCTTCGTTCGTCCTACAAGAAAAAGAACCCACAAGCTCGAACAGAACTCCTCCGGGCGACCAGCCCATCGGTCCAAAGGGACGGAAGGATAGGTGACATGATTGATCCCAATCATCTCCGTTCCTCCAACGGCTCCAAATTAAGTCATCTTTTTAGAGTAGCATGACCGTTTTTAATTTTTAAAAAGATAGCGGGGGAAACTCTTACATATTTCACAAAATGAAATGATCATCTGGAGAAATAGGCAGATACAGAACAGGCCCATCTTCTTCTGATCAAAATGCACTTCGCTAATTAGCGGCCACGGGTCTCCCAGGAGCGGCCCCTCGGCTGGCTAATAAAGGCCCGGCGCGCTTCACTCCGAGGCCTGAGCATTTACATCGCAAAGGGGGATAAATGAACGGCGGGATTCAAAACCCTTCCTCCGGCTGCTCGTTAAAATTCCGGTCCAAACAGATTTTTATTTATGTGATACATTAAAGAATATTACGACAGTCCTAATACGAAATCTGTTCTTCACTGCCAGGGATTTTCTTTCGTCTTAAGTTACAGCTTCTTTCCACTGGTCTTGTGTTAACACCTCCACGGAATATTTCTCCGGCGAGTGTCAGCAAGGAGGGGCGGCCAGAAAGCACTGAAGTGAATTGGAACCAAAACACACGCTGACATGTCACCGGCAAGCTCCTCGCCCGGTGGAGGAGGAGGAGGGGCGCAGCTCACCTGGCCCCGGGGACCTTAACACGCACAACGCCGAAGTTTTGTTGAAGGGAGACAAACAAGAAATAAAAAAAGTCTTGACTTAAAGTTCTCTATTCCTGCCAGCGGGTTTTGGCCTCCAACACGAATGTGAGTCTGAAATCCCCGTGGCTGGGTTCAAATTCTATCAGAGAAGAACCGTGGACGAGGAAGGTGCTTTCTCCCCACCCTGCCCCGACGCCCAACCACCGCACCCCGCGCCAACTCCTCAGCCGCCTCCCTGGGGTTGAGCAATGCCAGCACCACCTGAGAAGATGCTCTGGGGGTCCGATGGAGAGCTGCTAGCAGACAGTGCCACACATTGGGATGATATCGTAGGGGTGGCACCTCCAAGTCCCGAGATGCTGGCTGTGGTTCTGCCTGATGACTACTCGGGTCACCTCCTGCCCATTGCAGAGAGGGGACACAATGCTACCTCCCACCCCGCCCCCCAGGCCAGCTCATTGGGAGAGGGCCCAGCGCTGGAGCCAGGTTGCCTGGGTGGGTTCCCTGTAACACTTCTCAACACACATGCACTTGGGTTTCTTCATCTATAAGACAGAGGTAGTGCTTGTATCCACCTCACAGGACAGAGGTAAAGACAAAATGAGTTACTATACACATAATGTCCCTTCCACCGTGCCTGGCACTTCAAGTCATATCATTATTATCATCAGCCCTCTCACTCAATTGGCGTGAGGGGCTAATTAAAATAACAGTAAAAATAGCAGGTAACACATAGGTATTACACTGCACCACGTCTTTTTTTTTTTTTTTTTAAGTACTTTCCCTTTATTATTTTATTTAATCTGCACAAAAACTCAACAAGATGGGTAAAAGTTAAGGTTCAGGGAAGTTCAATAGTTTGCCCAAATTCATACAGCTGATAGGAGGCACAGCCGGGATCGAAAGTCAGGCTGTCCAGCTTGAAAATATCAATAACAACAAAAATAATTAAACCAACAATAAAGGTGGTGGTGGTGGTGGTGGTGGTGATGGTGGTGAGTTACAAGGCCCTCACCCTGTGGCAGGATTTTATTCTTCACAACCACCTTCTGAGGGAGATACTGTCATCACTTCCATTTTACAGATGAGCAAACTGAGACTGAGAGAAGGCAATTTGCTCAATGTCATGGGACCTGAGATTCAGGTGGAGATAATGGATAGGAAAGTCCTTTGTAAATTGTGTCATAAAAAACAGGTATTGTTATAAAATCCCTAGAGCCCCATGGAAAGATGTCCCTCCCCACGTGGTTTACTGTTTCTTCACAGCTACGTGTGACATTCATCTAAAACATCCCAGACTCCGGGTTGGGGAGGGAGGGGGGTAATATGTGTGAGTACTAGTACACACTGACAAGTTTAAGAAATATCCTGTCTCGTGTTCAAGTTGAATGCATCATTGAAAAGACCAAATGCCATGATACACTAAAATGAAATATGCCCTAGCTGATGTGATGTGACCCTCACTTGACTGAGGGTCATCCCAGGCACCAAGAGGTCACCGGTTCAATTCTCGATCAGGGCGCATGTCCAGGTTGTGGATTCAATGGGAGGCAACCAATCCAGGTATCTCTCTCGCACTGATGTTCCTCTCTCTCTCCCTCTTACTTCCTCTTTCTAAAATCAATAAAAACATCTTTCAAAAAGGCTGTCTTTAAGAAGCATCTAAAATTGCTAAATCCTGTCCTAACTGGTTTAGTTCAGTGGATAGAGCGTCGGCCTGTGGACTGAAGGGTCCTGGGTTGGATTCCAGTCAAGGGCATGTACCTAGGTTGCAGGCACATCCCCAGGAGGCAGCTGATCGATGTTTCTAACTCTCTATCCCTCTCCCTTCCTCTGTGTACAAAATCAATAAAATATATTTTAAAATCTTAAAAAATGCTAAATCCTTCATCTAATTAAAAAAAAAAAAAATACTGCCTTCTTGTAAAAAAAAAAAAAAAATGAGGGGAGGAGCAAGTGGGAGGAGAAAACAAGTCCAACCCATGGTTTGACCAAGTCAGGGATTTTTCCAGTTTCCCTCTAGAGTAATCTGACCCTAGTTCTGGGTGATCAAATGACTAACCTGGAAACATGAAGATTCACACTTAGGGAAGAAACAGCAATTCTCCCAAACCCAGGAAATGCTGCTTATTCTGGAAGCCGTCTGCAATGTCAAGGGTCACTCAGAGTTCAGAAAGCAACCTTTAAGCAGTTCCGATAGTCCCAAAGTTTGTGCTCAATAAAGAAACAATCAAACTGCTTTGGCTGATTAATTCCTATTATTTGCTTAACATTAGGGGGAAAAAATGCCTTAAAAAAGTATTTCACTCTATTTTAGGGATTTGTGCTTCCTTAAAAAGAAAGGAAGAAAAGAAAAAAGAGAGGAAAGGAGAGAATCTCATGGCAGAATCAGACCTGAAATTCTCAAAATACCATCCATAATTCCAACTTTTTTCCTCGCTAACGTGCAAAACCACTCCTCCCTGAACACAATCACAAGGCTCCACTTCTGGGAGACGGAGCTTAAAGAAATAAACTGAGTTTGCTAAAGCCATAGCCCATTTTCTTTATGACCTACAGTCAGAAGCTTCACCTTTTCCCCATTCCTTAAAAGAATGCCAAGGCCGCAAGGTGCAGGTCAAGTTTTTCCTCCAATGTTACACAGGAAAGAAAAAAAAGTATAATGCGAAAGTGCAAATTTAAAGGTAAGCCGTAAGCCCTTCACATTTCACCCCGGGCTCGGGCAGCCGTGTTCCCACAGCCACACCTGGCAAGCTCAGTGAAAACTACTAGCGACGCACTTCTGAAAAAGCGAAGGCCCATCTCAAGCCTTTAAGCAAGCCTTGTAGTACCACTCGGACAAGCTTACAACATTTTCAGGACTTCTCCGCCCAGGCGCCGGCACTTGCGAGAGCCAGCGGGTTTCAAGGGTGCCCTTACTTATCCCGCCAACCCGAAACCCAGGCATCTACAGGCTCCCCAGGCAGGTTTAGGGCTTTACGGGTCTACGAGGTTGTTTTTCCCAAGAGAGGGCAAGCTGCTAAAAGTCTCCTCCTCTCCAAAAACTCCACGTTGTAAGGCCTCCGACGAGTACCCTCCAAAAAGGGTCACAAGGAAGTGTCCCAACTTTTCCTGATATGATCTTGGCAATGCTTAACAAATAAATAGAACACTTGCATAAATATGGCACCGGACGGAGCTGTGTCCAACCACTGAGGAGCGGGCCGGTCCCTGCCTCGGCGGTAAGCTCAGAACCCACCTCCGGGCGGCTGACTCGCAGACGCAGGTTATCTCCGAGGGCCTGGCCTCTCACAGCCACGTGCTGCCGCCAGGAAGGAGCCGTGTGCACCGGGGTTCAGTGCCGCCCCGCCAGGGCTGTGTTTGAAACCCGGAGTCCTTGGCAACCGTGTCTGAGTGCTACCATCCTACTGCCAGTTCTCCTACTTACCTTGGGTTGCGCTCGACGAGGAAATGCAACCTTGGGGTCGATCTAGGAGAAAATGGAAAAGTGGGAGTCAGTTGCAATCCTTTCAGGAGAGGAAAAATATATATATGATTAATCACCTATTTATTAATCACTCATTTCTCAGGCTTTGAACCCAGCTTTTAGTAACATCTCGGGGCAACCCAAGAAAAGTTTTTAAACTTGGATCCAAACATCCTGGTTTCTCCCCAAAAATGTAATAAATAGAGCTAGCCCTTCTGAAATGTCCTACACCACGGTATTCCATGTGTGATACTGTTAATGAACCAGACCTCATGGATTCTTATGTAGGCCAGGGCCTACAGATACCGAATCACACAGATACTGAGTGCATCGATCTAATCTGCAATGCATGGCTAGGAGGAAGAGATGGGAACGTAATCACTGAAAAAAAATCACAGCCTGAAAATTAAATGTAAGAATCTTCCAGCGGTAGCTGGATGGTATTTCTTCTCCCCGGTGAGAACTAAACAACACAGGAGGGGACGGGGGTTCCAAAAATTTTGAAAATCAATGACATCCAAAAACACCCCATAGACATCCAATGCAATACTCTGCAGGGATTAATTCACACGTTTTTTGCAAGAGTTATCTAAAATTAATCACAGGCATAGTTTATTCTGTAGTTATATCTCAAAAGAAAACAGGTAGTAAAAGCTATGGAGCCCAACTTGGTTCTTAAAAATAATAATAATACTAAAAGAAAGGAAACCCATGAGCTAACATCCACCTGGATTTTAAAATCACAGGGGAGTAAAAAAAAAAAAAAAAAAAAAAAAAAAAAAAAAATCTATAAGCAACCAAACCCAAATAAACATCATCAAGGGGAGAGGGTAAAAAAAAAAAAAAAGTTTTACTAAAAAAAAAAGAAATCAGAATATAGCATAACAATCAGGGTATTCTCCTACCCTAACCCCAATCCCAGTGGGAAAACATCCTCAACCCTAGATTAGACCACTTACAGAACACAAGTCTCAATCAAGGACTGGCTTTAAAATTCAAACAATTCCCAGGGAAGTGTCTGAATCTAACAGGCTGGGGAAAAGGTGTTGAGTAGAAAATATGGATAGGGAAGGAATAAAAAAAGATTCCCAATGTTGATTTTCATTAAACTTCTAAATGTCATGAGTCATTAGGTGAAAATCAATGGGGAGAGAGGCATGAATATTGCTACCACGTAGTTATTTATAGGCTTGCCTCTCATTTTAAGATTTCCCCCTTTCCCTAACCGGTTTGGCTCAATGGATAGAGCATTGGCTGCGGACTCAAGCATCCCAGGTTCGATTCCGGTCAAGGCACATCTCCAATAGGGGTTGTGCAAGAGGCAGCTGATCGATGCTTCTCTCTCATCGATGTTTCTAACTCTCTATCCCTCTCCCTTCCTCTCCGGTAAAAAAAAATCAATAAAACATACATATTTTTAAAAATATCCTTCCTCCCTTTTAAAATGTAAATCTGAACCTTGATTTCAGTTCTGTCAGGGGGTTAAATAAATAAAAAGAGTAGTGCTCTGGGAGAAAGCACAGAGGGATCATTCTTGTTCGCAGATCATTCTTGTTCGCAGACTTCACATCCCTTAGGGCCCCAGCGGGTGAGACATACAAAGACCTACCCCTTTCATGAAAGTGGTTTAAAGACCTAACAAAAGTCTGCAGCGTGTTTGTTTTCTACCTTTCAACATCACCTGAGAAATGAGAGATTAGTTTTCAAACACTAAAAGAGAGAAATCTCTGATCTAGGAAACTATCCTTTCATCGAGATTAACATTACCGCATCTACAGGTGTATTCAGCACTGACTAGAGCTGTCTACGAGAGAAATACAACAGGTGTGGATTTCCATTCTGTTGACCCAGCGTAAGACAGATACGTCTCTTCGTAAACACTCTCAAAGTCTTTCTTTTTTTTCTTTTTTTCTTTTTTTTTTAGCTGACAGGTACACAATTGCAATAATAAGTCACCTTGTTTGTCGGGTAAAAGGTGAGGGACATGTTAGGGAAGAGTCCAGGAGCTGGAGGGGACTGGGAGGAGGAAAGAATGGAGCACTAAAAAAAAATATATATATCTAAAATTACAAAACTCAAAGCCAATTTGGAATTCCCATATTGGATATTGCAGTAACAGTGTGTGTTCCACAATGAGAGCTCTTCGGTGTGCTGAGGGCTCTAAGGGAGAGGACAGGTCAAGGTAAGCATGGCAAATCCCAACCTTTTGCACGTCCCTGTCAACTATTTTTTTTTTAAAAAACGAACAAGAAAGAAAAAACTACCAAAAATTAAAACATTAGTTAGTTAGGTTCAGCTCTACTTACTGTAGCTACAAATCCTCTAGGAAAAGACTAGGGTACTATTTTGGATGTGAATGGCCATTACCTAAACAAAGCTTTTAAGGTAACGGTAAACAAGATCCTCTGTTTCCATGTCAATAAACCAACCGCTTCTGCCTCCTGCACTGAACGGTTGAAACAAAGTCAAAAGCTATGTTATATAAATCATAGGAACTAAAACATGTCTACAAACAATTAGGGAGGGGAAATGGCAGGCTTTGCACCTGATAGTGAGGGATATGACCCACCAGCCACTGCAGAAACCAGATCCTCTGTCGCCTGCCCAGGGTGGGGAGAGGGAATGGATAATACATTCCCGGATTTGCTTTGAAATATTTGCCCTCTACTTTTACTAGCTTTTTGAAATGTCTAGTCAAAAATCAAAGAGTAAAATAATTCTTCAAATATCCATTATCATCCTACAAATGATCGTCCCTGAAATTATATGACCTAAAGAGGTCAAAAGGCTGGGCCGGGACTATGACAAATCCAGTACAATTAATAAAGCAACTTAGAGGGTGTGGAGTCTTATCCAAAGAGGGTAAATCTGCAGGCACACCGAAAGTGGTCAGGTTTTTGTTTTATTTTTCTTCTATTTAATGTTAAAGTCAAAAGGAACTCAGGGGCCCTCATCGGTTTGGCTCAGTGGATAGAGAGTCAGCCTCCGGACTGAAGGGTCCCGGGTTCCATTCCAATCAAGGGCATCTGCCCCGGTTGTGGGTTCAATTCCCAGTAGGAGGCTTGCAGGATTTAGTGATTCTCGCTCATCATTCATGTTTCTATTTCTCTCTCCCTTCCTCTCGAAAATCAATTTTTTTAAAAAAATTTTTAAAAGGACTTGGAATATCATCTCAGTTCCACACCTTTATTTTAGAAAAGAGTAAAGTGAGGCCTGAGGCAGAGAACAACGTCCCGAAGTGTTAAAGGGGCAGCTGGGACTAGAACCCAATCCCTTGCCTTGTCCCACTACCCCACCAGAGAAATGAGTCCCAAGTAGCCGAGCACTGCATCCCAATGTCACCTCAGGTCCCCTGCTTTGGCAAGATGTATAAAAACTGTGGGAAAATTCTAGAAGATATAAAGGGAAGGGGGGTGAGCACAGAACCAACACAAGGGTCTAAATAAAATACTACACATACATACACACACACCCCATTAAATGTATTATTCTGTACCGATCCTCTTTCTTCCCTTCCTCTTCTGGCCTCTACCTCGAGACTTCCCCGGCCCTTAACACCGGGCTTCAAAACCTTCTAACGCTATAAAAGTACCCACACTCAGAATAAAGAATCTGAGAAAGAAAAGGGAAAAAAAACAAATCACTTTGAAACCCAAGGCCTTATCAGCCTTAGATTTCACGCCATCTGGAGTCAGCCACTGGATGCCCAGTTTGGCCCTGGGAGCGTCTCCTTTCCTTCTCAACCCCCATTCCAAAACCAAAGTGCCCCGAGAGGAACCTGTTGCCTGGGATCTGGATTAACGCCCCCCCTGGATTCTTCCTGACCCCTGGTCCGTGAGCCGGGAAGCAGGCTGTGCCTTCTGAAAGCCAGTTCCCACAGCCACAGTTGGTTAAGCATGCTCTCTGCTCCCTCTCTGCTCCCTCGGCTGACAAAGAAAAGTTGCCTTTGCTCGGTGGAGGAGTTTCTTTGCAGGGCCCCTTGGCCCTGAAAATAGCACCACCTCCCCTCCAACGGACCCCTCCCCCAAGTCTAGCTTGGCAGCAACTGGGACGGGCTCAAAAAAAAAAAACCCACACCGAGCAATGGTAGCAAACTTTAGTGCCCATTTGCCAGCCCTGCTTTAAAAGTACCTGGCTCTCAGCACAGAAGCAAAAGAAGGCACTGTCCCTTTAAGTGGGGCTGTCAATGCTCAGATTGGTCCTGAAAAGGGGGCAACAAACAACAAGAAGAAAAAAGCAACCTACCGTCTTGGAATCTAACTCATGGTGGGGCTGACCTAATACTTTATCTACACTTGCTGGGTCTGCGAACGTGACGAAACCGAAGCCTCTGAAATGAGACAAAGAGGGAGAAAAACAAACAAGAAAATGTGACACCATTGAAAGCAACAGGGAGTGAGCCCTACTGCAGAATGGGGAGCAAAAGTTCCTCCGCGCCCCCCCCTCCCCCCCTCCCCAGTCCTCCTCCAATCGCCCTCGGGTCTGCAGCCCTTCGCCTCGCCAGGAACTACACCAAGGTTAATGGGGGAAGCGGACGGGGCCGAGCTGGTGGAGGTAACTTGGAAAAAGCTGGTGTCTCCACTCTTTCGCCACCTCAGTTTCCTTTCCTCTCCTCCTCCTCCTCCTCCTCCCCTTTCCTTTCTTAACGCTTTGTTTTATTCCGATGAAAACCCGGCACTTAGGAGACATTCGTCCAGCTCCCTCACAAGGGGTTAAGAGTTTGGGGAGCTGGGAGTGCGAAGAAAAGCATGTATTTAAAAAAAAAAAAAAAAAAAAAAAAAAAAAAAAAAACTACGTGGAAAGTGAATGAAGCTGAATGTCCTTTTTAAACAGGAGAAAAAAAGGAGCGACGGGGAAAATGACTTGAAGACGGAGAGCTGGGGATCTCTGTAGCCAGACAGAGTTCAAGCCCCAATTCATAATAACCTTTGAGGTTATGGGGATGGAGGGGGTGGAACAGAGCCACGTTCGAAACCAGCCACATGCCCTGAGCCCCATTCTAAATCCGCTTAGCTACTTAAGACACCTCCAAAAATAACACTTAAACTTTGTTCTAAAATAAAGGCAAAAAATCCAGAAGGGAATGGTTTACCTGGAGCGTTTCGTAGTGGGATCTCTCATGACCATACATTCTCTAATTTCTCCAAATTTGCTAAAATAGTCTCTAAGGCTATCTGTAGAGAGAGAAAGAGAGAGATGGGGGTGGGGGGAAGAAGGTGGGGGGGGGGGAAGCAATGCAAATTTTGATCAAGGACAAAAAACCAAAAGTAGTTTTCTGTTGTTATTCTGTTTTGTTTTTGCATTTTTTTTTTTTGCACACGCGGGGGGAAATTCGGCAACAGAGGTCGCGTAGAGGGCTCAGAAAGGATTTGCTATTTTAAAAAAATAATAATAATAACCTTGCACAGGAGAAGTGGGGAGCCAATGGCGGGGGGGGGGGTGCTCCTACACTGGGATAACAAAGAGCAATAAAGAAGCCAAGAAGGGGGGGACCCAGGCGTCCCCCCCTCCCTCCCTTACCTGGTGAGGTCTGCCAGCTCAGTCCACCGATAAACATTTTACTGGAGGGAGAAAACATAACAGAAGTGAGCACCGATGTCAGATCGGCCATTTTGACGTGTAACTTACAAAAGCTAAAAGGAAAGCAGGGGGGGAGCGTTCGAGCGAGAGCCGGGCGGCGGGGTGGGGGGAAGGTGACGGCGAAATGCAATCCAAAGGTGTGTAACTTCCACGGGGGGAGGGGGCGCGCGGGAGGGGCGCGCGGGCGGGCGGGCGGGGGGGGCGCGGGAGATGCCGGGCGCCGCGCACCGCCGTCCCCGCCGCTGCAAGGAGAGCGAGCCCGCGGCGGGCGGCGGCGTGGTGGGCAGCGGCTGGAAACTTACCCGGGGTCGTGCTGGGAGTCGTTGGCGCTGCCCGAGGTGCCTTGGCTCCCATTTGCCTCCATATCTGAGCCCCCCCGCCCCCCCACCCCCAAAAAAAACGAGCCCCACGGCGATCGGAGCGGAGCGGCGGCCGACTCCGAGCCCCGAGATCTCCCGCTCCCTCCTGCCCCTCCTCCTCCTCCTCCTCCCCCCCGCCCGGGCGCCTCCGAATCTCTCTGAGAGCGAGCGAGCGAGCGGCGGAGCCGGGGCAGCGGCGGCGGCGGAGCCGTCACACGTGGGCTCGGCTTAGCTCAGCCCCGCTGCTCGCACACCCCCCCGTCCCCGCCCCCCCGGCCCATCCCCACCTCTCCCCCTCCTCCTCCCCACCCCCCTCGCCGCCGCCTCCTCCCCTCCTCCCGGCGCACGTGGGGCGGAGTTCTATAACGTCGTGTAACCAATGCCGGTGACGTCACGCACCCCGGTGCAGCCCCCGCCCGCCCGCCCGCGCGCGCACAGGCGGCACCCCCCCCCCGCCCGCCCCGCGGCCAGACCCGCGGGGGCGGCGCGCGAACCCCGCGGCCTCCGGGCGAACCGGGGCGCCGGGCGTGAGGAGCGCACCCCGACTTTTCCCGGGTCACATGGGCTGCGAGGAGAGGGTGGATCGGGGAAGGGGGGAGGCGCGGGGAGCCAGCGGCCGATCCCCGTTCGGACATGGGGAGAAGACGACCCCCGCCCCCGCCGGTCCGGCCTCTCCATTCAAGTTCGCCGGCCGCCGCGGCCGGGATCCGGGGATGGCACCAGGCGCCCGCCCGCTCCTGCGCCCTTTTTCCAGCCGCCGCGCGGAAATTTAGGTCAAGGACGTCGGGATCAAACCCGAACCCTGGCTCTCCTTGGGCGGCCCCCCCCTCCCACCGAGATCTCCCGGGATCCGGGGGCTTCGGGATTGCCGAGACCCTCTCTCGCACAAACACACCAGCCACAAGTTTTATTTTCCTTTCGCGCTGAAGTTCTCTCTGGCTCTCGCTCCACACCGGCGAGCCTTGCGCCGCTCCCCGCCCTTCCCCGGCTGAGGTACGAATCCGTGCCCGGGAAAGGTTATTTTGGAACTTTGAGAAACTGACGCGATTCCAGTGGTGAGAAAGCGCCGGAGAAAGGGTTTCCACGCTAATCATACAGCGTTTTAAAAAATAATAAAATAGGTTTATAGGGGTCAAGGTCAAACGATTGAGATTCAAAGCAAAATTTTGTATATAGTAAAAAAAAAAAATTAGTTTTGAAGGGTTTCTGGGATGACTGGGAAGGGTAGTTATTTTAGGAAATTCCTCTCCCAACTTATCCATTATACTTTAGTTTCTATACCGAGATCGCATGCTTGAGATTAAAATAGCCCAAGACCCCCCACCATCTGGCAAGGTAGATGAGGGTAGCTTCAGACACCCCCCTCTCACTCCTCTCACCCACCACCTGCCACCTTAGGAGCTGTGTGTGTGGTGCAGCTGCAGCATCTGGCACACAGTAGGTGCTTCATACTGACTTCATCCCTTCCTCACTGAAAAATTCCATAAAGGTGACGTTGGTAGGGAACTTCCCAGAGGCATCTCACACTTCTCCAGCAGATTCCAGGCTGGCCAACTTCAGGCTGGATCAATTTATGGGGTATTTAAAACAATTATCCTTATTGTTTTAAATTATTACAATACCCTGACTTAATGTAGCATGAGGGGCAACAAAGCTGTGGTTCACCAAACACTCAGACTAGTGTTAAGCATGAATCGATGCCCAGTAAACACTTTTCATTAAACTGTCAGAGGATTAGGACACAATGGGATACACTCAACACCAAAACTACCAAACCCTCTGTGGGTCTTGGGAAAGTGGAAGACTTGAAAAATCTCAACACCAGCCAAAGCCTGTAGGACCAGGCTCTCTTACTCTCCCTGTTTCTTAAACCGAGATAATTTCTCCCTGTCAGGATTGATGGGTTGAGAAGAGGGACTGAAATAAGCAAATGTAAAAGTCCCCTTTTCACTGTAAACCTATAAGGGTCATGCTTATTATCAATCATGACTTCACATGACTTTTAGAAGGTGCGTTAAAGCTTTATACTACAAGCCTAGGCATTTTCTGTAACTTCAAGCTGCTTCCCAAATCATCGAGGGTCTCACATGTCGAAGAGCCCATTGTTATTATAGTGATTTTTTTTTAATTATTATTCTCAATTTTAAAAATGCAGACAGCAGAGCTAAATGGATTGTGCTTGGGATGTTTATACTAGAACTGCAGACCATCAGAGGTATAAAGGCCCTTCCTGACCCAACCCCCTCATTTCACATCAGGGTTCCCGAGAAGTCAAGCTCACCAGGCAGTACCCTGCCCCCACCAGTCAGTTCCTAAAAGGGGTTCTGGCCACCGGTGCAATGCCCTTTGGCTCTGCTGCCTGCATATTTATTCTGTCCTTCACGAGGCAAGAGTAGGGTGTCCTTGTTCCCTGTTGTGGACCTGCCAAGCTGACAGTGAACTGAATTAAAATCTGAGAGGGGCTAGCACTGCAGTTACAAAGTCATTGAGAGAGCGCTAGATTTTTTTTTTTTAATCTCCATTACTACACTGTTTCTACTTATTTTGAATTTATATGCAGTAACATTTGCTCTTTGTATTCTATTATTCCACGAGTTTTAGTAAATGGCCGGAATTGGGTAACCACCACCATAATCAAGATCCAGAAGACTTTCATTGTCCCCCAAAATTCCTTCTTGCTGTCCCTTTCACTTGCATGGATTCTATTATTATTATTATTATTATTATTATTATTAATTATTATTGTTATGCATTTCTTCTCCAGTTCACTCACTGAATGTATATAGCTCCTGGATCAGAAGAATTGCAGGAGCACGATGTCAGTCCTCCACCCTTAAGATCTCCACAGCTCATGATATTGTTGGACACTCCCTTCTTGTAACTCACTCTTTTCTTGGCATCCTTGATGCCCACATTCTTCTGGCTCTCCTCATCTCTCTCCAGCCATTCCTTCTCTGTCTCTTTGCCCTGACTCCTCCTCTGCCTTTCCTTTCAATATGGGGTGTGTATGTTCATTCTCAACCCCCAGCTTCACACCCTCTTCTGGGTGAGCTCCTCTGAGATGGGTTTAAATGCCATTTACGTGCTGGCTGCCCCTCAAAATCTTCAGCCTGACCTCCCCATTGAGCTCTAGGTCCTGGTTAATTTCCTACTCAACATCTGCACCTAGCCTTCCTAAAGGTCCCCAAACTCAACATGTCCAAAACTTGCTTCCCCCTCCCCTAAATCTGAACCTCTCTTAAGGTTCCTTCTATCATCCTAGAGACAAGGTTGGCCCCTCCCCAGGTTGACCCCTTCCCTTGTGCAATCCATCATGAAAGTCTGTAGTATGTGGTATTTGGGTCTTCCTAAATATCTCGCAAATTCATCTTTCCTGTTACTGCCTCCCAGATCTTCCACTTGAACCCCTGCAATAGCCTCCTAAACATTCTCCCCAAACCCATTCTTATTCCAGTAATATGTCTAGAAAGCTTTCCCTAACCTTTCTGACCAGGTCAGATATCCCTTAGTATGTACTGTTATTATCCTGCCAGAATGTCCTCTGTGTACCTTACTCTGTGTGATCATTTGCTTTATTGCTCATCTCCTCCCTCAAGCCCTAAGCTCTCCGTTTATTAGCACAGTGCCTGTTGGTGGACACTCAATAAATATTTGTTGAATGACTGAAAGGATGAATGAATGAATGAAGGTCAACATCTAATTTCATTGTAGGATTTTTTTTTTTTTAAATCCATGTCATGAGTCAAATTGGCTGTAATTTTCCCTTCTTGTATTGCCTTTGTCTGGTTATACTGGCCTCATAAAATGAACTGGTAAAATGTTCTTTCTTTTTCCATTTTCTGGAACAGTGTGTATAAAATTGGAATTATGTGTTCCTTGACTGTTTGGTAGAACTTGCCGGTAAAATGTCTGGCTCTGGGATAAACATTTCCTGGGCTGATTTTTAACTACTGATTCCATTTCTTTAATGGTTATGAATCTCTTTGGGTTTTATACTGCAAGTCAATTTTTACACATTAAATTTTTCAAGGAAATTATTACCCATAACATCTTGGTTTTCACATTTATTGACAAAATGCAGTTCATAGTTTTCTCAATATATTTTCTCTGCTGCATCTATCCATAATGTTCATTTTTTACATTCTAAATATTATTGTATATGTATCTTCCCTTTTCTGAGTCAGTTGTCTCCCTTTTTTAACTAGTGTTTTTTTTTCCTACTTTCTACTAGTGTTTTTAAATAATCAACTTTTAGTTTAACACTGTTTTCTGGTTCATTAATTTTTGCTTTTATATATTACTAGAGATCTGGTGCACGAAATTCATGCACGAGGTGGGAGGAGGGGGGTGTCCCTCAGCCCAGCCTACACCCTTTCCAATTTGGGACCCCTTGAGGGATGTCCAACCGCTTGTTTAGGCCCAATCCCCACCAGGATCAGGCCTAAACAGGCGGTCAGACATCCTTCTCACAATCCAGGACTCCTGGCTCCCAACTGCTCACCTACCTCTGCGTGATTGTCCCTAACCACTTCTGCCTGCGAGCCTGATCACCCCTTAACCACTCCCAACAGCCTGATCAATGCCAAACTGCTTTCAGCAAGCCCGGTTGTCCCTAACTGCCCCCCCCCCTGCTGTCCTGGTCACCCCTAATTGCCTTCCCCTGCCTGTCTGATCATCCCTAACTGTCTTCCCCTGCAGACCTGGTCCCCCCGCAACTGCCCTCTCTTGCCAGCCTGGTTGCCCCCAACTACCCTCCCCTATTGACCTGGATCCCCCCAACTGCTCTCCCCTACAGGCCTGGTCCCCCACAACTGCCCTCCCCTGCTGGCCTGGTCACCCCTAACTGCCCATAACTGCCCTTCCCTGAAGGCCATCTTGTAGTGGCCATCTTGTGTCCACATGGAGGCAGCCATCTTTGATCACATGGGGGCGGCCATCTTGTGTCTTGGAGTGATGGTCAATTTTCATATTACTCTTTTATTAGATAGAATGTCTTAACAATTGA